ATACAATGAAATATATACCCATTTTCCCTATAAATCCAAGGATTCATTCATGCATTTCGAAAGAATATGGAACACTAGCCCAGCTGATGTGAAATCAATTTCATCACTGCAATAACAGAAAAATGAGGCAATATCATCACTGCATCAATGCTTAAATTGACGAGTATAGTTTAATTTATGCCCAGAGCATGGCCAATAGTAGCAGCAAGCGTGGAAGATTGGAAAGCTTATAAGTTAGAACTACGGGTGTTGACTCAACACTGTTGAGTGGATTGTTACCTGTCTGAGTGGCTGGAACTGACCGGAGCGTAGAAGGCTTCCACGAAAGTTGAGGTTGGAGCTTGACGATTAACCTGCAGCGTGACTGTCCTGCCTGTTAGGGATTTAGATGGTTTGAGCCTTTGAGGCCTGGAGCGTGCAAACTCAATTTTGGGATTTACTCGGGTACCTGCATCATAGCGATTTTTAGTTAATATATTAAAAAAATTTAACCGGATATTCGGGTAACCGAAAAACTCAATTTTTATAACCCAAGCCCGAACCAGAAAGTGTCAGGTCTGGTACTCGACCCGGCTAGATAATGTTTTTTTAAAAAATTACCCGATTTTTTTATCTGGATCGACGAATCTAATAATTTTACACACCCCTAATCCTTATAGTAACAGTCAAGATATCTGGATAATAATATTGATAATGGCAAGGGGAGCTTTTTTAAGTAATTTTTAAAACTTTATTTGCCTGTGTTGAGATTTGAAAAAATATTGAAAAGGAAATGCAAGCTTATCATAAGGTGTGGAAGGCCACCATAGGTCTCCTCGAGAAGATAACCTGAATATTATATAAGGTCAAGACGGAGTGATTAATACTTATTATTTTAATATTTTAATTGTGTGTAATAATCATATACTCATGTTAAATATTTTTCTTAATACAAAATTTTAAACAAAAAATTTTGAAAATAATAAGTTATTGTAGACACCAAATTTCGTCCTCGATTAATATTACTACGATCATACTACTATAATATATTTATTGATTATATTATACAATATGATACATATCACACATTTTTTATTTTTTGCATCAGGCCCAATGTTACAATGTTAAACTTAAACCCCAAGATCCAGTTCAAACAAGCCCGTCAGCTATCCAACAGAGCACCAGACCCAAGCCATACGTGCAACCCAACTGTAGCAACTCGGGTCCAGTGCAGCAGCCCAAGTTCGACCCGCTTCCAGAACATGCGACCTGCTGGAGCAGCCCGAACCGAGCTAAACCCACATCAGTGAGCTAGGGTTTCCAGAACCCTAGCCTCTTCTCCATCAACGCCACATTTCACCCCTAAAGACTCTATACGACCGCACGCTTCTCCTCTGCATTTCATGGTGCCAATAACGATAACCACCAACAACCCGTAACAAACACAAAACAATAGTGTTTTATTCGGTTTTAAACACCTAAAAATAAGATTTTTATTCCTATAAATTCATGTAATCAAGGTCAGTTTGGTACACACCATTTTCATACGAAATACAGACAGAGATTATGAATTAAAACCGAGGCGTTTTTCTTTCAAAATTTGCGAAAAGAATATAAGGTAAACTTTATACCTTTTTATGCTTGCATGTTTGCGATGGTTGTGTTTTTGACTCGAAACCATATGTAGGAGTGTTCGGCCGATGACCAAAAGGGGTTGTTTTTCGAAACCATTTCTTTAGATCTACGCAACCCCGAGACCCTTTTGTAAAAATCATTCAGATATTGAGAAAGTGGGGTCAAGATCTACCAAAAAATAAAACTTTTTATAAATCGCCAGCGATAACTAGCGATTGGCGTCGATAAAAGGTGGCCGGTGAGACGACGCCACCGTGTGTTGGTTTTTGTTGCGATGGATGTTCTTCAAAACGAAGAACAAGCAAGAACCATGGAGAGAATTTGTCTCTCTCTCATTTGATCCGTTTGGGGGGAGAAGTGAAGAATGAAAGTTATTTTTAATTGTTGACTTATGTAGTCAACCCGAGGAAGACCCATGGCCCGACCCAAGGGCGTATGACCCGCGTGTTTTCATTTTCAGAGGGGGAATTTAGCCCCAGATTTGACTTTTCTTACAATTTACCCCTTTTATTATTTTATTATTTATTGTTTAATCATTTTATTTTTATTTCTTATTTTTATCCAATATTTCGCTTATCCATTAATATATATATATATATACATACGTTACTTTTTTATTGTTTTCTCTAATATTATATGTATACATGTATTTTATCATTTTTATTTGCTTTGTATTAAATACTATATCTTATTATTAGTTTATGTATATTTATTATTATTTTCTTTTATATTTATTTCTATTTCTTTATTTCTTTATTTGTTTTTTTATTCTTGTTTTTATTTATTTGTTTATTATGTGTATATCATTAATATTATTTTCTTTATATTATTTATTTTCTTTATATTATTTATTTTCTTTATGTTTCCCCTTGTTTTGTTTTGTTTCCATCTTTTCTATTTTTCTTCATTTTATGTACTCTATTTACTTTATTTTATCTTTACCTTATCTCATTTTTGATTTCCTTTATTTCATTTTCCTTATTTTATTTATTTTCATTATCTTTTTTTTCTAACACGTTTCTTAGCTTTCTAAAGGATACGTTTTCAAAACTGTCAAAGGTAAGTAATTGGGATCGTTATTTTACCTTTTAATTTAAAATTACAATTTTCTTAATTAAAGACAACTGGAAATTACGTAGTAGTGAAAGGGCAGTTCAAGGGTGTTAACCTTTCCTTGACTGTAACCGACTCCTGAATCCGACACATCTTTGGAAATACGCAGATCAGGTAAGAAATAAGGTATCTGATCTACCCATTTGTTTTAAAATAAAAGATCGATGACGACTCCCAATCTATTTTCCTAAGTTGAAGCCCAATTTCGGGGCCCACTAAAAGACGGTCGTGACAGCTTGACGACTCCGTTGAGGATAGGTAAGTGAGTCAGACTAAGGTAATTTTCTGTTGTCTTTTTAACGAAAATGGTAAGTTTAAATTTTAAGGTAACATTTCAATCCTTATTGCTTACTTTTGATTATATTTTTGAGTAAATAGTTGTACTAACTGTTTTCTAATGATTCCAGTCTTCCAAACTTGATTTTCATCTAAGGCTCTATAACCGAGCTCCGAACCCTATTTAAGTGGGGGTAAAAGTGACGCATTCGTGTGAATTTATTCACCGTGCGAGCCTAGCAAGTAGCCTTCGGGATTCATAAACCTTATGTCTTCGTGTGAATTTATTCACCATACGGGCATAAGGGAATGTTTCCTCTCGAGTTTAACTTAGTCCACACAAGCTTGTAATGGGCTTATGACTAAGGGTTTGGCAAGCCCAAGGGGGCACCAGCAAGGAGAACTCGAGTACCATTTTTTAAAACCTAAACGGGGAGACTATGGAGAATTAGAGCCCACCCCAAAACCTCATTTCAAACCCTCGACTGCTTTGATATTATTTCCTGCCTTATTTTCTGTTTAAAACATGTGAACTAGAAATTTATGCGGTTAGGACTTGTTCAAAATCAACTTATGGGATAGAGATCATGTCTGGGTAGGAATAATAAACATGTTAGGTAGATATCATGTGGGGTAGGACTTTTATTTTCATGATTATTTTGATTTACCTTGCTAACTTTTTTTTGCTCTCTTTTATTTTAATTTTCATCATTTGCATCATTCAAAAGAGGTGTTGATCCACCAAAAACGTATTCGTTAAACGTAAATAATTTGCATTAATGGACAAAGGGGTTATAATACAATAGATGAAAAGCTCAAAAGTCATGCTATGGTCAGAGATTACTTAGAATGGTCCGGGATTTACACTGTACACACCAAAGGTTAACTTTTTGAGTTGGCAAAGGTTGCAGGGGCAAGACGAGAAAAGGTTACTGACCCAGAGAGTCCTTTCGAAGACTACGAGAACAAGATGGAGAAACCCTAGCTAAGCTGGAGACCATTATTGACGAATTCAAGAAACAAGCAGATAAACCTCGGATGGAGGGCTCCAATGGCATTTTCGTTAGGAACAGGCTCAGCAGAGAGTGAAAGCTGGAGATGCAGTCATTCGAGACTTTTTTGGGGCAAGCAGCTCATCACTTGCACAGTTTAGCCAAAGAAGCAGAAACGGTTCGACATGATATTCAACCGGTGACAGGAAAAAAACGGAAGACGAATAAACTTGTCAGGAGCTGTTCGGGATCTATACCATCAAAATATTTTTTGTCTCTTTAGACGTAACACTTTTGTTCCCAATAAGGATTATTTATAATAACAAACACATTTTTTGGATCAATGCCTCGAAGATTGCATGCATTATGCATTTAAACATATTTTACATTTTTCTAAGTCGAAGCCCAATTCTGGGACCTACCCGAAAGACGGTTCCGACAACTATTAGGTAGCTATTTTTAAATTATTAAATTTATTTTATATTTCAAAAACTTATATTTGAAATAAATTATCTCTTCATAACATATTTGAATTGTTAGATTTTTACTTAATACAAAAATTTAAACAAAAAAATGTTCAACGTGATAAAGGAATATATATCTATTTATCACTTAACGTTAAAAATATTAGTACTTTGATTTTTTAAAATTTATATTTAAATAAATTATCTCTGTATTTTTATTAAAAATGAAATATTCAAATTATTATATTTACAATTATAAATATTTTTTAAAACTATTAACCATAAAATTCAGAAGGCCCGTCAAAATCAAAACTAAAACTCCTGCTACCTACTACTTTACTAATTTGAAGGAAAACGGCGTCGTCTGCTCCCCATTGGCCAATACCGACAAAAAAGCATATGCCGCGAAGCTCCCTTGGATACCTACGACTAACCCTAGTCAGATTTTAAACTTTACTCTGGTTAATACTCCCCGTCACGATCATTCCACGTTTCCTTATCTCAACGATCAAGATCTTTCTTCTTCCTATATAATCATATTCTCTCTGGCTTAAAACCCTAACTACCATCACAGCAAAAAAATCTCTGATCAGATCATCTCTTCTTAAAAATTTCAGCACTATGGCCTCAAATCCCAAAGTCTTCTTCGATATGACTGTCGGTGGTCAGCCTGCCGGCCGAATTGTGATGGATCTTTTCGCCGACGTCACTCCACGCACCGCCGAGAACTTCCGTGCCCTCTGTACCGGCGAGAAAGGCATCGGAAAATCCGGCAAGCCCCTCCACTACAAGGGATCATCCTTCCACCGTGTGATCCCTAATTTCATGTGCCAAGGAGGCGATTTCACCGCAGGAAACGGCACCGGAGGTGAATCCATCTACGGATCTAAGTTCGCCGACGAGAACTTCATCAAGAAGCACACTGGACCCGGTATTCTCTCCATGGCCAACGCCGGACCCGGAACCAACGGATCCCAGTTCTTCATCTGCACCGCCAAGACCGAGTGGCTCGATGGAAAGCACGTCGTGTTCGGACAAGTCGTTGAAGGCATGGATGTCGTGAGAGCCATTGAGAAGGTTGGGTCCCAGGCTGGAAGGACCTCCAAGCCCGTCGTTATCGCCGACTGTGGACAGCTTTCTTAGGGGAAAAAAACTGGGTCGTTTATGGTTTTACTTGGGATGTTTAATGTCTTAGAGTTTTTAAGATCTATCATTTAGGCCTTTTTTTATGGTTCTGTTCTTATCATCACTGGTTTCTGTGGTTTTCAAGAGCTTGATGTAGTTTTTATGATGAACTACCATTAAATAAGTCACTCTATTTCCTCATCGTCCTGATTTATCTATTTTGTTCTTGTTTTTACCGACACAATGGTAAAGATTGAATCGGATTAGTCCCCCGTTGGTCAGTTCACGGTTGGCATTCGGTCACCTTGTAATTATAAAATGAAATTTTATCATTAAAGAAGCAGACAAGAGGTAGAAGACAAAATTTGAAGATGAAAATATCTATCCAATCTATGTCATGTTTTTCTTGATTTTTCTTTTCGAACAAATTGTCCCCAAGTTTGATGAACAGCCTCAGCAGGTAAAGCGAAGAAAGCGTACCCATTTGTGGCGCCCCACCACCGCTTGCATTTGTACCCTATAATTATAACAAGTATAATTAGTTCCCTCCCAAACTTGAAAAACTTCTCTCTAGACACAGCTGTAAAATGCATACATCGAATATTTTCAACTCCATATTTAGCAATGAAAAATCTCGAAATGATGATAATATTATTTAAAATATTATGCCGATCACACATGCCTTCGTTCTATGTAGGGTGTAAAGTTATTTATTAAATGTTTATTTATTAAGTTAAATAAATAAGAACGAATACAATTTGTATTTAATAAATGAACAAAAACATGAATATATGTATTCATTACGAAAAAATTTAAAATTAATGGCATAATTTTATTATTTTTTTGACTTGCAAATAATATGATAAAAAGAGCGTTGATTGTCGAACATTAAATGAACTTTAAGTGAATATGTTTGTAACATTAGATAAATTACGTTCACGGATGTTAAATAAAAATGTAAATGAATATGTTTGTGAAATTCTCGTTAATAAAGAGAATTCGAAGCTACGTGAACCCCAATGGAGGATCGCGATAAGCTTTGTCCCGCGTGAAGCTAACAAGCTAGCTGATAGCCTAACTAAACTCGGAGTCGAAGAAACTCGGGGCGATCAGTCCTATTACAGCCACCTACTGAAGTCATAAGCATCCTCAACTCTGATCAGGATGAGGTGTGATGCAAAACCACCCATTGATTTTAGTGGCTTTTCCTGTAACCAAAAAAAAATCTCATACATTAAACGAACAAATATAAATATATTTTAAAAATAAATAAATAAATAAAAATATAATTTTAATCCTTCAAATTTGATTGATTTATATCCCTAATTTTATCGTAACACTTACTCGACCGTAAGAAATAAATTATTAGTCGAAAGGAAAGGTTTAGAGTTTTAAATTAACTGATTTCGTTAGACGTGCTTCAACTTGATTTGAAATTTAAAATTTAAAGACATGTTTCGTGATCCCCCTTTCATGGCTTTTGAATTTTAAAACCCTAACAATAATACACCGAGTTAAAAAAGTTCTTCATGCTCATTAAAAAATCCGATATAAAAGAGCTTTTAATGTGTTCTTTATTGCATTTTATAAGAATATTTTGGAAAACTATGATATTTTTTCACACTTTTACATACTCATTTATTTTTTTAGTTTATTTCTTGTATAGTTAATATTTTTCGTCTACTTATACTGTCGATACCATAAACATTTAGCCTATTGATGTAATATTCACACATATTGATGTCATTTCCTGTTATCCTTTAGTAGTACCACCACCACGGTCAGTCCAATCAAGTATGTTATATGCGCTAATATTGTCCTTTGAATTTTCAAAAGTCTTCTTAGGCAGTGAGATTATTGATCACACATCTCTGTAGTTGTTATGCTTCACAGACCATTTGTCACTATATGATTGGATAATGTCACCATAACATTGTCAATGTTGAAAGTGATATTAATCAAAATGATGGAAATAATAACAATGATGCCTCTATTAAAAAACATTTACTATAAAAAAAGTCTGACACATAATCATAGTGTATCATAATGTGGAATTGATTTATATAGATATTAAAGTAAATTACATATTTAGTATTTAAATTATAATTTTTGGTTTATTTTAATATCTAAACTCTTAAATTTTTTAAAAATCATACTTAAAGATTAATTTTTGTTTCATCTTAGTACCTCAGTTCAAAATTTAATGTTAAATTTTGAAAAAAACCCTAGAAGTTTAGGTACTAAAACGAACCAAAATTGATAGTTTATGTACTAAACACATTAAGTTTTTAATGGCGGGGTACTAAAATGAAACAAAAACTAAACGTTAGGTGTGTTTTTTTAAAAATTGAAAGTTTAGGTACTAAAGTGGATCAAAACTGATAGTTTAGGTACTAAACACATTAAACATTTAATGATGGGTACTAAAATGAAACAAAAACTAAATGTGAGACATGATTTTAAACAAATTGAAAGTTTTTAACCCTGGATATTATTTATGATAACTTTTTTCTTTTCTTTTGTTGTTTTGTTTTGCATATGACTATATGTATATATTTAGTTGTGAATCCAGAAAAATTTTATAGACCAAACCAATATAAACATACATTTTTTTTATCTAAAATAATCCATATATAGTTTTAACTTAAAAATATAATAAAAATTATATATATATATATATATATATATATATGGATTAAATCTAGAAAAAGCATATTAATTGGAATAATATAATCTTTTAACATATGTTGAGTTAATCGATTGATGGAATCGGCCAAGAGGGGGTGAATTGGCAATTAAAAATTTTGGTGGAAGCTTTTCCAAAAAATTGAAAAGATTTGCACAACGATTTAGAGTGGTTCGACTTTCTCAATCTAAGTCTACGTCAACTACCTTAGCTATCCACACTAAGGATTTTCTAACAAATTCACTAATTTGTTCTTTCTTTTGAGGCCAAAGAGATAACCTTACAACTCCCTCAAGAATATACCCCAATTCTTGAGAACACTCTTTCTCAAAGAGAAGATTACAAATTTGCAAACTTACAAGGAAATCCTCACAAGGTAGATTGTTTGCACAATTCTAGAACAAAGAAAAGAACACTCAAGAATGGATACAATTGAGTACAAGTAGTGTTCTTGAAAGCAAAATGAATATTGAATGAAAAATAGGCTTGAAGTGCTATAACAATGAGTTTGATGCTTTCTCTTTGATTCTCTCTTGATTCTAGCTTCTTGTTGTTTCTTTTTGTTTCTTCTTATTGATCAATGGCTTCTAAGCTTGTTTAAATACTCCTTCAAATGATTATGAACGTTGGGGATGATTAGTGGAGTCAATAGAGCCGTTTAAGTGTGAAAACAATTAATTAAAACAGTTGAGAGCGTCAGTGCATCGATGCATACCCATGGTGCATCAAGTGTGAAATTCAAATATTTTGACCGTTGGACCCTTAGTGAATTGGTGCACTAAGAGTGCATCGATGCATCAAGTGCATTCGATGTTTCAAAATAGCCTGAGTGCATCGATGCATGACTTGTGCATCGATACATCAAATGCATTCGATGTTTTCATAAAACCCTGAGTGCATCAATGCATGGTATGTGCATCGATGCATGAAATGCATTCGATGTTCAATTTATTCCATGGTGCATCGATGCATGGGTTGGTGCATCGATGCATCACTTTGAAAAATTGATTTTAGGCTTGATTTTGGTTCAAAATACTTTGTGAAAATTGTTTAAAAAATATATTAAGTATAAAACACAATTTTACACATTTAGTAAGGTTTGAAATTGATCTTGAAAGATATGGAGTAATAATTTGATATTCGATTAATTGAATCGAATATACTTATAAAATCATTTGTAAAATCTTAAAATTCATTTAAACTTAATTTGTTATATCGAAACATCAAAATGTTTTCAACAATCTCCCCCTTTTTGATATAACAAAACATTTGTGTAATTTTTAAGATTTTCTAAAAATTTGAAATCAATTGTGAAAAATTACTCCCAAATTACTCCCCCTTACTATAACATTTTTCTCCCCCTTTTTGTTAAATCAAAAAGACTCTAAAAACGATTTTAAACAAGGTTTTGAAAAATATAGCCAATTGATTATAAATATATATATATAGCTTAAGCTGCTAAGATCAAAGATCAAGAGAGAGGTTAGCCATTAGTTTCATAATCAATATTCATAATCAAATGTGAAATGACATTATTGGTCATATATGTCTAATGATGTAAAAATAAGAAAATTCAACCAAACCAAATATATATATTAAGTTCAAAATCCATAAAGCAACAAATAAGTTCAAACATCCAACAACCATCAAATTCAAATATCCAAAATAAACAATCTAGAAACATCAAAATCAATCCAAGTTTGAAATCCAAGAAAGCATAACAAGGAAACAAATTTACTCCATCAGAGGATCGAGAGAAGGATAATAATGAGCTCGAACTTCAAGAGTGAGAGCGTCCATACGTTCACGCATCTCCCGCTGAAACTAAATAAGCTGAGACTCCATGGATGCAAACCTCAGATCAAACGACTCTAAGAAAGATCAAAAATATAGTGGCGTTTGATCTTCTTGTCGTGCTGGTTCCGGTGCAGGCTCATCATCTGGTACATGATCGTCGATATCTTGCATAAGCTGTTGAAGCTTGGAATCATCGCCAGAAGCCGGTGCCGGAGGAGGAGGAGGAGCACGAGAGGAGCTAGGAGCAGCTCGTGAAGAACTCGCTCCCAGAGTTTGCTTACCAGGTCGAAAGACCCAAAGACCGGTTTCCTCGTCTTGTTTCCAATCCGCTTTCTTTAACGAGGTGAGATTGATTTGACTTTGGAGAGGGATGTGATTGTCGAGAGAGACGTTTATACTGAGTTTGATAAAAAAGGTTAATAAGAAGACATCCATAAATTAATGTTTCGACATGTTTTGAAGGAACAATGTTTATGATATCCACTAGTTGACTAAATATAATATGGGGCAGATTTATTTTGTTCTTATTCTTGATACAGTGCATCCACCATAAATCCCTAGTACGAAGAGTGGAATACCTACCTCTGGATGGTCTAAACCACCAAGAGATCATCAAATGA